GTTTTCGAAGAGAACACTTTCGATAGATCAGTGAACTAGTGGTGTCAAATTTGAAATAGGCATCTTCAGTGGAAGAATTCATACATTATCAGCATTAATATACATTATAATCATATATGAATGAATATATATCCCGTTAAAATTATAATTTTCCTTCTCATTTTCAGTCTATTTTCATGGCAATAGCGATGGCAGTTTGGAGTATACAGTTAAATGTTCTTTGCAAACTTGCAATCTTTGGAATCAGTTTGGTGTTGTTCACATTTGCATTACTGATTGGTGCAGCGATTAAAGCAGATTCGGTCAATCACTTAACAAATATTCTAATATCCTTTTTAGTTATATCTGTTGTAATTGCTGTAGTCGGGGCTGTGCTCTGTGCTTTGCATAACAAGGTATCCTAATTCACTATATAATTTGATTCATGAATTCCGTAATCATGATTGAATCTAGTTCCAAATCGTAAACTTTTAGCAGGAATCTAGTTCGAATACAACATTTCCAAAAATTTGAGATTGGAGTAAAATCAATCAATAATCGAAAATATTATGTTAGCTCAACTTCTAAATTTCTATTGCATGCTGAAAATATGTGGGTTTTCGATCGGTATGATGAACATCATATAGTGGTAGACAAGTCAACTATATTATGTCGTCGACCAGATTAACAAGAGCAGAGATATTCATGTCGTCAAAGCAAAATAATCACAAACATTGATATCATATAAAAGCGTAGAGAAGTTTGGGAAGGGAATTAAGGTCAAATCCAACAACCATTCAGTTCGTTAGAGGTGCATATCCTGCTACAAGACATGCATCTTTCTAACATGTCAGGTGGTCATCTTCAAGTGATTCAGTATGTTCACTCACGTAGCACAAGTAGATATTACATCCACTCTGGAGAACGTTTTATGATCATCTCTGTTGTATAACACTGAACCAAAACGGCCTACGTGAACACACAGTGTAGTTTCGATGCTAAAAGGAATAAATAAGTTTCCTGTTACGTCCTTGATCTGTCTATCCACTTTCGCACCGAGAATAACTTGTCTAATGTATATAAGAACCTTGACGTGATAGACTAACTGGCTTACCATTGAGGCTACTATGTGTGAGTTCAAAGTGGGGCAGAAGGACTCTGGTATAACATTGAAGCCAAAGTGCCTACATGAAAACATAATCCACTTTACATAATGAAATGAATAGATAAGCTTTTGAAGAAACTTGGTCCAATTTCTGTTATCGTCTAGAAGTACACACTGACTGAATTCTATATAGTCATATTTGAGCATTGTTCAATGTAAATTCAAGTCAATCAGTCTCCTTAGATGAGTACTATATCAAAAGGATCATTGTCACTGTTATAAAGAAAGTTCAATTAAGGTGTTCATGAAGACGAAGTAGCCTAAACTGGGTGTTATTCTGAGTTTGATATAAATGGAGGAACAGGTATCAAATAGCTTTTCAATACCTTCTGTCTAAACCTTTGTGACCCAGAAGTACACACCGACTGAATTCTATATAGTCATATTTGAGCATTGTTTAATGTAAATTCACTAACACATTTTCTTCTTTTCGGTGTTCAGGGATCGGTGTTTTCATAGGTGTACAAATCCTGTTCTTCATTGTGAGTTACATTTATGTACATTTTCATTTATAGAATAATCACTCTGAGGTAGAAGTGAACTGTTTATTCTTAACTGAATTTTACATTGCTCCAATATGATTTCCTGTAGTTGTGATGAGAAGCCATGACCAGTGGGCAGGAATCTAACTCACACCATGGATGAATGGTTACGCAACCATTAACACACATTAACACCCTCGGATTCCGGCTCACTGGTCTAGAGGTTAGGCTTTCGCATGCGAGACCGATGGTCCTTGGTCCTAATGCCGCGTGCGGGATCGTGGATGCGCACTGCTCAATAGTCCCATACTAAAACGGAAATTATCAGGACATTATTTTTATTATATTTTCAAATAATCAACGTCTAAACTGATGTATGTTTTACTTATTTTACAGATAACAATATTGACAAGTCATTTTGCTGTTGGCAAATCAAGATATCTTATTTTATATCCATATTATTCACAGGCAGCTATCATATTGTATACCATATTCTTATCACCTTTGTCAGTCAATACTGATATATGGAAGGTCTACAACAAGACTGAAAACTGTAGTATCCAGTTTAAGTTGAACTCTGAATAGTTAATCGATGCGTATGTTTCATTTGTTGATTTAATATGGAATCAACAATTGTCAGATAGCTTTTCAATACCTTCTGTCTAAACCTTTCTCAACACCTCACTATCCACAAAAGCTATTATTCATTCTCATTGGTGTATTCTCATACAGAATGATAGCAATATGCGAGAAATACAAGTAATCGAATTGATACAGCTGTACATTACATTGATTATGGATCGATCGAAGTTAGACACTGACATCGTCGGATACTGGCTCAGTGGCTTAGACATAAAGTGTCACCTCAAAGACCAAAGATCCTGGATTCGAGGTTCTCGTGTGTGATCGTGGATGCGCACTTGTGAAAGTCTCATACTAGGACGAGGCTGTCGTTCAATAATGGTCTAGCTTAGATCGACACATCGATCCAACTGTTACAATCCAGAGAACATTATTACGTTCTTATTGGACGAAAATCATGCAGAAGAAATTGATTTTTATTAAATAATGTTTACTATGAAAAGGTTTATAGTCAGGATCAAAATATAATCCAGTTATTTTATTGTACAGGAATCATGAGTGAGGATCAGTTCATTCAATGATGTGATGAAGCTCTTATTATCAGTGACATTATGTTTATATACATATTCATATCTCTCTTATTTATAAGCTTACATTTGATCTATTGACTACTATCATACAATTTACCATCCTAAGGTTATTCTCAATCTGTTAGTTACACTCTCTCACAATTACAGCTACTTTTAGCTTGATCTTGTATCATTGTTATCTTGTATTTTATGGTGTGTGATGAGGTCTAGTCTACTTGTAATTGAATCAAGTATATCTGAAGTAAATGATTATTGTAGTGTAGGTTTACATCGGCGTTTTATAGTAAACCGTCAAGGTTAGGTGAGAGGCTACTATCTCATTAGACAAATAAGAAGTCATCATTGACTATGAACTACTCGTACTGGTTTATGGATCATTATTTCTGGTCATTTAGTCAGTGTTCTACTAATCAGATCACTAACAGGCTATATGTTCAGTTCGATACACATCATTCATTCGGTAGTCTAGTTACACAAATACACATGTACACTAACAATAAAGAATTCTTTGGAAACTTGTCGAATTAGTTGTTAAAATTTCATCAACGTGTAGAATTCTTTCAAAACCTGTCGAAATCATCTTTGAATTGTCATCAATGTTTAGAGATGAAAATCGATGATAGACAAGTGTTAGTAACCAATTTCTACTGATAATTGAACACTTCAATGAACAGATTATTTAGGCGGACAGATCATACCATGAAGTTTACAGTACAAGTGAGAATCAACTATGATTTGCAAACAAGCTTCATATTTCATATTCTAAAATCATATGATCTATGTCTAATGCGTTTTCTTACAGTAAATACTTCATTTACAAAATATCAATCAGTTGTCTCCGACTTCATTGTTCCTTCTTTTGGTCCCGGTTCTTTGCTCCTCACTCTTCTCGATCTTCTACTACTAGACGTTCTATCCCTGATCAGTGTTGTATATTTCTTATGTCGATATAAGTAGTACACATCACAATAATGAATAATAAAATCATCACTCAGATCATAGTTCTCTTCAATTAGGAATATACATACAATTACGATTTAGTTCAGTCTATAAACTGCCTTACTGAATACCAGTTCTTTGACGAAGGTAGTCGGATATACTCGTGTTTGAGAAGATTGCATATCGGTATCAACTAACGAACACGGAACATCACGAGTTAATTACTTGGTAAGTGAAACGTTGATATATTGGGAATAAATACGATATATAAACCATCGTATTGTAGAATGTACATAGTGACTTTGCAATCACATATAGTTGAGAAATACTTTTAAAGTTTGGAAAGGTGACAAAGACAATTCCAGATAACATAACCAGTAAAGTATTAGGTAGAACACGAGTGTACTAATGTGTTAACCACCAGGTTTATTTTTATCTGAATCGTGTATTTTTCGTTTAAAGGTAATGGTACTGGGTTCGAGTCCCAGAATGAACATCAACTCTGTGATATAGGATTGTTCAGCTGACAAATACCAAATAGGAAGTAACAAACTCATTCAACTATTGTATTATATGTGTGTACTTAGTAATTTAGGCATTTTAATCCGCTATGTAAATTGATGTGTGAGTCTGACTGACTGCAGTGTGTCTGTACATCGATCTTCATCCTGTTCTCTCATTGGTTGTAAACAAAAACAATGAATAATTTACCCACAATCCATTAACACTGATCAATATATATTTATGGATTTTTGAACACTCATCAACACAAACACATACACATAGTCACTCGCTTGTTTTTCCTGTGTGATTGTTATCAGTACACTTGCGGATTATTACCAAACTTCAACAATAAACTATCTCTATAACTTATGTTTAGGCATTTGAAATAATCTTGAGAAAACACATCATTCTATTTAGAGATTAGGCCTGCATTGAATATTCAGTTAACGGAAATCAGATATAGAGGATTTCATTGTTTATGAAGTTGGCGAACTGCCGTTGGAACGTGCACTATCACTCTACATGTCTGTTGCATATTATCCAATCATATATCACAAAGAATTTCACATTGAGATTACTGTTACAAAGATTAACAATTCATTGACTGTCATAATATTTATTCATTCATAACATTGTTCCTTTGGAATTATATCAGTCTATTTGCATATTTGTACCCAAAGTAGCAGTTGTATTTATTATTCCGTGAGTCTCTCAAATACAGTTCCTGTTGTTGTGATTGGTTATTTCGTCATATTGTATATGTCAATGCACAGTTTATTATTATTGGTACTGTTATTATTTCTTTGTATGATGTCAGTCGATAATTCACCAAGCCTTTCATGTAAGTCTATTTGCATGGGTGTCAACTCTGTACCTTTACCTGTTTTTAACCACCGAAAAGTTAAACTCTGGTTAACACTCTCAGAACGTTTTATTGTTACAAACAGATTCACAATTCAGAACACGAAATTTAGTTAAGCGAATTGGTTGGTTACGTATGACGTTATTGAGCAAGTGCTTGATGTCATTTTTAAACCAGATCGTGTCTCGGCATACGATTGCTTAAAAGAGGGGTCATACGTGTTAGATCTCTCTCCCTCTGACCAGCATACAATGGATGAACTTTTATCCAATGTACAACCAGGTGACAACACGTCTACCCAATTCAAACGCCATATCACAAATGGCGTCTTCAACTATGAAAATACTAAATCTCCACAAAAACCCCTTCTAATTATAATAATCATATGCTCACTAGTGACTGATTTCGAGATGTAAATCCTGGAGTTCTAGTGAGAAGCAGTGACCAGTAGAGTTCAAACCACATCTGTTGTGAGATAGGAACTCACTGAAGACAATTGGTGAACGGTTGCTCAACGTCGTATATTCGTTGAAGTTACACATTAACATCATCGGATGCCGGCTCAATGGTCTATCTATTAAGTTCTCTGGCGTGGAACTGTTAGGTCCTGGGTTGGAATCTCGCGAGGCGAGGTGTTGGATGCGCACTTCTGAGGAGTCCAACAATAGGACGAAACGGCCGTCCAATGGTTCCAGGTTCTCCATGGTGGTCTAGCTTCAATTGACTTACGCTTTCAATTATATATAAAATCACTAAAAAATTCCACATAAACCTTTTCAAATTTGATATAGTTCAGTTTCTGAGTGCATGTTAAAGTAGATCATCATTGAAAATCTGAGGATATACGAATAAGTATAAGATTACAATGAAGATACCACAGGTATGGGAAGCTTGACAGTGCTTTAACATCCAACAAGTGAAACCAAAAGATAGAAGTGAGGAAGTTCGAAGAAATATTTGATAGATTCACTTGTTATTCCTTGTTTGGATCTTCCCATTGATGTTTAGGACTGCAATTGATCAGTCTCTTATTGGCATATGCGCATACTGTGCTTATTACCTCGATATAGCTTTAATTCATAAGCATTCCAAGTAAAGATGGATAGTAGCTAGCAGTGGAAACCAGGACACACGTTTCATCACATATGTTGTTTGTCAGAGTTCACTCTGGGACTTTAACCCAGTACCTTTCGCTTCAAACGCCATCGCGTTATCCACTCAGCTACAGAATCCTGACAGCCACTTGTGTACATCAACTCTGAGATCCAGGTACATCTATATGATGAGTACCAAATAGGACGGATCGCACGTCCTGAAATTCACTGCTAGCCACTATTCATTTTTGCTTATATATTTGATAGGTAACCAATATATTGTGGATCGACTAATCTAATCTGGCTAACGATTACCGAGGATGTGCATTGTAATACGTAAATGGTTAGAAATTTAAACCTTCTCATGAATTCACATGTGCTTGTGGTATCAAGTATACACGAAGTAGTAAAAGAGAGCTTTGTTCTAGGATTCTAATGTATTTACCTCTACCTGAAAGTTAATCCTCATAGGTACAATCACCATGTATCAGATGGTTAATGAATATAAATACTTCGTAATGATAATTTTTTATGAAAAGAATTTTCATTTTCATTACCTTAATAAAGCTGATCTGCTTTGAATGTCTACTCTTACAACATACAAAACCGCATCTATAGTAACTAGGGTTAAATAAATATTTTACGTTTACTTTCTTACAATGACTACCAGTTCTGTTTCAAATGTACATCTTAATCTCACTGAATAGATTATGTTACAACATTAAACATAATTAGTTCGCTTCTTGTAATCCTAAGTTGTTTGTAATGGATGAAAGCCTTGTAGTGAATAAGAACATCAGTTGGGATAATCGAATGTATTTGAATACAAAATCACAGAGTTTCTAAATGGAATCTGAGAACCACACAGTAAAAACTTCATTTGAGAAATATCAATCAATTGTCTCAAACTTCATTGTTCCTGCATTTTCATATCAATTGTTTTGTGTTTCCGTTCTTTCCTTCTCGATCTTCTAATGAAATACATCTTATTTCTGACTATTGTTATATACTACTTATGCGGATATAAGTGGCCTTCATCAAGGCTTTAGAGCAGAATAAATTCACTCACTTCTGTAAATCTTCTTTCTTTCCTTCATATTGTGGTATGTATATACTTCGTAACTACAATCAACAATGTCAAATAATAAATTCGAGATCGAAAGAACTGGGTTCGAGTCTTGCATGTTGGAGTCCCATAGTAGGAAAACAAAACGACTGTCCAGTACTTTCAGGTTTTCAATGATAGTTTAACATTGAGCGATTCATAATTTGAATAAGCACTTACCTGTGGTTAATAAAACTACAATGTATACTATTATGTACATGATGCAAAATGTTGCTTATATTCACTTCATAAAAACACTTGAATGATTAAAACAAAGAAGAAAGATACTACTTACAATTTTTTTTTGTTTAACATATTACTTACTCAGACATGAATGAATACAAAGGGTATTGATGTTTTCAAATGAATGACCATTTGTCTAACGAAACAAGGCATTCCTTATTCAACCATTGTAAGATGACTTTGGACTTAGAATCTCCTGATTTTTAATAAGTGTAGTTATACAATAAAGTTTGTTGAAAAATACTAAACATTCATCAATTAATTATTGGATAAATAAGACAATTCAATTGACTTTTCATAATCTCAATTAGCTTACAAACAATAAACAAGATTGATATGGGTTAATTTGAATTTGTATGGTCCTCCTTTGGTTTCTGTTGAATGACCATCATACTCCTCATTTGTCTCAGGTATTCGAGCTACATGATTGTCTTTCATAAATTGACAAATTGAAGATGTAGAATAGAACATCTAGAATTATTCATGCGGTAGAAACTAGCTGAGAAGCACTTTTCTCATGTAATTGATCAAAGCTTTTATTTGAAACACATTAGCAGAATGAATCTATAACTCTGTGATGATGTTCACTTCAAGGCTCAAAAAAGTCAGGAAAGAACCCCCATATACTCGATTCCCCTGTTAATCATATTCCATCCAGTTTACATAATAGAAACTGTTTAAGATATTTCATAAGTTTACACTCGAGGAGGAAGTGTGATTAGTGTACAAGATAATCGTCGTCCACTGGTTGCATCTAATATATACGAATACATTAGATGATGGTATTCGTACAGTCGTTGAATAACTTCACGTTTTATTTCTTATTATAATGCAAATACTTGTTACTTCATACATTTTAATGAAATGATACATAATATGGATTCCCTTAGCAATTATGAATAATTATAATAACTTATGTTTAATTCACTTGGTGTTGTTTACTTGTATCTTCCCATTGTTATTTTGGACTGCAATTGATTAGTCTTTTGTTAGCATGTATGCATCCTGTGTGGACTGCCTCGATATTACCTGAAATCTCAAGCTTCATAAGGAAGGATGGATAGTGGTTAACAGTGGAATTCAGGATGTCCTTTCGTCCTATTTGAGACTCGTCAGATGGATGTGCCTTCATCTCAGAGCTGATGTTCACTTTGGGACTGGAACCAAGTACCGTTCCCATCAAATAATATCATGTTATCCACTCAGCTACCAAGTCCTGAGTCTTTAATTCTATACATCATTATTTACAGAAAAAACATATCAAATCAACTATCTTATTTATTATCATGTAAGCATTTTTTTAAAAAACGAACCCCAATGGCATTATATATATCGTTAGTTTTTGTAGTAACTCTCTTCCGAGTTCAACTAAACCGAAAAGACGACATTAAGGAATAACGTTTTTGTAATAACACTTCACTTCAAATTGTATAAGAAAGTGTAGAAAAGGTACTTCAAACTCAATATTCTTAAGTACGGGTTCCGGAGATTCAGTATTCTTCTTTGAATCGACTACATTCAATAGGATGGGAAATTCAAACCAGGTATCAAGATAAAGTACATTCTGTAAACCTCTTGAAGTCCAGTCCTCTAGGTCGTATACAGACCTACTATAACTCCACTTCTCAATTGCCGTATAATGATGCACTACAGTTTGGCGACTACCTATGTTAGTACTGTGTCGACACTCAGTATTCATAATATAATATAACACAGTCATCAAAATCTATATTTAAAAGTAACTTCATAGCAGAAATTGAGGAAGGTCTTTCTTAAAACTTTGCCCATCTTAACTTGTTTGATTGGAGCAACGATTGATTTATTGTGTAACAACAAACAGGTTGGTTGTTGTGAGATACTAGCCAGTACGCAAGCCGCCACTCCATTACCAATATCCAGCGCATCATCGAGAAAATGAAATTCTACTTTCCTATTATGATGGATTGTTTTTCTCCTAATTATATGGTGTGGTTTACCTATATCCGCATAAGTAGTATGTAAGGAAGTTCGGGCATTGAATGTATTTCAGTAGAACACAGATAAGGAAACAACGAAAGGAAACTCAATTGACTATGGACTGATATTTGCAGAAGGAATTGTTAAGATTGAGACAATTGATTGATAGTTTGCAACTTAACTATTTACTATATCCATCTTTACTTATAATGCTTGTGAATTAAGGCTACATCGAGGCAATATGCACAGTATTCACATTTGGCCAATAGGAGATTGATCATTTGCAGTCCTAAACATCAATGGGAAGGTTCAATCAAACAATACCAAGTGAATTTGTTTACTATATGGTTCTCATATCTTACTGAGATTTCATGCAATTATGTGCCTAAATATATTGGATTATCCCCATTCGTGTTTCTGTTCACTACCATTCCACTATACACTGGAATATGTCTTAGCTGGCATTGCGAGGGGTGTGATACCGCCCAGGTGTCCGAACTGAAGCAGGTAGTTTTCTGGAGCCCTGACACAAAGGTCTGATACCCAACGCAGTGGAGCAAAGTGTGGAGATGTAGTCTCATGGTAGCCGGTGACCAACAATCGCTTCATACGCCATTTGTTCTCTCTGGATACTGAAGCCCATGTACACATTCGGTTTGTAATAAAAGATTTCCAGTTCTTCGAAGTGAAATGTCCTTATCTACCAACCCGGTTGAAGCGCCGGACATTCGCGTTTCTCAATTCCGTAAACAACACCCGTGTTGCGAGAGGGCAGTGAGTGGGATTTCCTTGGTAGAGACTATATACGCGTGGCCATGTGAGAGCATTTGGTGAGGGAGAGCGAACTTTGCACACTCTCGGCCGTACCAGGTTATAAGAGGGCGAAATACTTTGCGCTGAGAATCCTACATTATACCGAAAATATAATACTGAATAAAACGATTGATAGTATTAATAATCCACAGCATAACCAAGGTAGCTGTCTTGGTTAGTTGGTTAGTTGGTAGAAGTAAGTTGAAACTGATACTTGGATAGATGTGCGACCACACATTTGTATCAGAAAAGTGATTAAATGAACCTAAAAGACGTTTACTCACGGAGGTACCAGGACATTCAAGGCCTTTGGGTGAAAGCCAGGAATCCTAACCGCTAGACCACGCGAGACATCAATGGCACTGAGGATACTGTGTGATGAGTGGTTGTTGGTTTTGTTTTTGAAATTTTCTGTTTAAACCGTATGAATGTTCACGATGACATCATTTTATCGTTCACGTTTGCAGGAATAAATCATAGAATTTATATTTGTGCAGTTGTTTATAACTAATCTTTTGTGTAATTTCATTACGGATCCGTTGGCCAAACACTATCAGCAACAAGCTTCTATGAGAGACAACAAACCAGATTCCATCCTGTGGAGGAAGAAATCAGGAAGAAGCGTTCGAAGTGGATAAAACACACATTGAGAAAATCACCTAACTGCGTCATAAAACAAGCTCTCACATGGAATCCCGAAGGTCAAACGAGAAGGAGAAGACACAAGAACACATTACGCGGAGAAATAGAGACAGACATGAGAAGAATGAACAAAACCTGGATAGAACTAGCAAGGAAGGTCCAGGACAGAGTGGGTCGGAGAATGCTGGTTGGCGGCATATGCTTCATTGGGAGTAACAGGCGTAAGTCTGTAGCTAAGTAATTTCATTACACTCATTTCAGTTTCATGAATTTTGTGATTGGAATAATGTTCATTTAAATGAACAGAATTACTACCTTTCGTCTTTCATCCCTCATGAAAGAAAATAGACTACTTATCATTATTCTTCATCCAACTCTGTCGTATTCATTTTTCAATATCTGCCTACAATGCTTGACTCAGTGTGCGCTTTGGTTTTCCTCTTTTCTGTTTCTTTTCAAGTTTCCATCTTAGCACTTACCTTGTGATGCAGTTTGTACATTCTTGACGATGATTGTAGTAGTTCTCCACGTTTCAGTTCTATAGAATTGAACTGTCTTGATTTTCGCATTGAAGATTGTGACTGTGATATTTGTTGACAGACAATTGCTTTGAGATTTATGTAATCTTTGACTGTAGAAATTCTGTTCTTGCTTTGCCAATCCTTGCCTTTACATCTGCATCAGAGCCTCCTTGTTCATCGATTACGCTACCCAGATACGTAAATGTTTCCACCTCTTCCAGAATTTCTCCATCAAGTGTGATTGGCTTGGCGTTCTCCGTGTTGTATTTGAGGATCTTGGTTTTTCCTTTGCAAATCTTGATGCCTATTGATGCAGAGACTACTGTTACACATGTTGTGTTTATCTGCATCTGTTGATGTGTTTGGGATAGAAAGGCTAGGTCATGTGCCAAGTCCGAATCTTCTAAGTGATTCCGAGATGTCCAATGTATTCCGTGTTTCCTCTCAAATGTCGGGGTCTTTATAATCCAGTTGTCCACCTGAAGTAAAAGGAAGGGTGAGAGTAAGCAGCGTTGTCCGACTGCAGTGCTTACAATGGACAGAATGAAAGCTCAATATCCCATCGATGTTATTCTCATGATAGTCTATGTAATTCTTGTTCCTGAATTTACACTTAATATATATGATATCGTAAAAACATTCTTTACAATTACAGCTATCTAAATCGATATAACATTTAAATGTATAAATTATTATTATTATTATAAATTATTCTAACGTAATACTTTTGCCAAAGACAATAAACACTCAGAACACTGAATGACGAATTGTATTATCATTTTAGGTTCAACTATCAACTATGAATGTCGGGCAAAATCAGATTTTCTATGGGTTGAAGTGTTTGCTCCTAAGACCATGCTTATTGAAAATCAGTATCTTTACCTATTGTGGAAGAGGACAAACCGACTTCCAGCTGAAAAGTAAAGTAAGAAAAGACAATGAAAATCAATAAGGCATACATTGAGAAAATCATCGAACTGCATCACGAGGTAAGTGCTAAGACGGAATCTTGAAGGGAAACGAAAAACTGAAAGACCAAAAAACATACTGAGTCGAGGATTGGAGGCAGACACGAAAATGATGAAAAGCAACTGGAAACAACAGGAGAGGAATGGTCAAAATAGGGTTAGATGAAGAATGTTGGTTGAAATGACCCATGTCCTAATCCAATAGAAATCGTGTTATGATACCGATGTTGAGAAAGGTTTAGACGAAAGGTAATGAAAAGCTTTTTGACATCTTTTTCTCCAGTTATATCAGTCTCAGAATAACACTCATGTTAGACTACATCGTCGTCTCAAACACTGTAATTGAACTTTGCCTAAAACAGTGACAATGATTCTTTTGATATAATACTCATCTAAGTAGACTGATTGACTAGTCGACACTGAACATGAATATTATCATTGAAATCCCAAAAACAACAACAACTACTTATATCATCTTCTACGTTACATTGTAATTCATTTATATAAAAAACACACACAATCAGTTTACACGAAAACTCATTTTTGATTGATTGGATATTAAATCAACAAAACGAAAATACACATCGGTTAGTTATTCAGAGTTCGACTTCAATGTAGCAACAACAAGAAATAATACAAAAAACAGATTTTTCGGATTTCTATTAAATATTGATGACATTTTCCGTCAATTTAAACTGGATACTACAGTTTCCAGTGTTGTTGTAGACGTTCCATATATCAGTATTGACTGATAAAGACGAAAAGAATATGGTATACAGTAATATAGCTGCCAGTGAATAATTTGGATATAAAATAAGATATCTTGACTTGCCAACAGTAAAATGACTTATCAATATTGTTATCTGTAAAATAAAAAAAACATACACTAGTTTAGACTTTGATTGTTTGAAAACATAATAATAATATTCATTACACCCCCAAATGTTCTAGTGCGGTGTACGGTGAGGAGAGTCCGTTCACTCTCTCGCTCTATCGAAATGCTGTCATGTGGCTACGCCTATACAACCACTCTCAGCGAACTCCTACTCACTGTGTTCTAGTGGCGTTGCTGTTGTTTACGAAAAAATTTATAGGATGAAAAGCGAATGCTTGTCCGGTGATTTAACTGGTTTGGTGGGGACGGACACTTCACCTAGGGGGATTGGAAATCCCTGATTTCAAACCAACGATCTACATGGGCTCCGGGATCCAGAGGAAACAAATGGTGTGTGAAGCAATCGGGTGTCACTGCCTACCATGGAAGTGAATCTTCAGCCGTTTTTCCACTGCTTTGTGAGTCAGTCCTTTACGTCGAAAGCTTCGTGTGTGGCATCTGCTTCGGTTTGAACATCCAAGTATTATCACAGATCACACGCAAATCAAGTGACATGTGTGGCGCATATGTTTTCGAAACCCATTTGTATCAATATTTATGTGTTCAAATAAATAAATAAATGATAAACAGTGCAAAGAGGTCACCATAAAGTTTCCTGTTTAAATATTGAGTGTTTTGTTTCTTAAGATTTCAATGAGAAAACAAACATATCTTTATTCATGTATAATGGAATACGGAGTTGATCTGAAGAATGTGATGTATTTGCGTTATACATTTCGATTGAGATCATGAAATGATTGATGTTAGATCATGATTGGTAACCTGAAAACACTATGGATGAACATGGTTATTTAATTCCCACATTGATCGGAACATTTGACATCAATTAGTGTTGAAGTCATCTATGCATATGAGCCAAAACGTTTGAATGCATTGTTCGATTACTCCTTAGTAAAGTGTTCAAAAACTACATTATCAGTGGACAGAGAAATAAAGTACAGTAGTGCAGTATATAGTCATTATTATTTCTTTTCATGATTTATTAATCAGAATATCGAGGTTTCTTTACATGCAAACACATCAGATGTAGATCATTTTCAGTAGAGACTTGACGAAAGCAATGTAGAATTCATTTAAGAAAAAACAGTTCACTTCTACTTCACAGTGATCATTCTATAAATGAAAATGTACATAAATGTAACTCACAATGAAGAATAGTAATTGTACGTCTATGTAAACACCGATCGTTGCATAATGAAAACAAGAAAATATTTTAGTGAATTTACATAGAACAATGCTCAAATATGACTATATAGAATTTAGTCAGTGTGTACTTCTGGATGACAACAGAAATATGACCAAGTTTCTTCAAAAGCTTATCTATTCATTTCATTATGTAAAGTCGATTACGTGTTCATGTAGGACCTTTTGCTTCAATGTTATACCAGAGTCTTTCTGCCGCAATTTGAAAACTCACACATACTAGCCTGAATATATGGCCTGGCTGCCTATCGCGTCAAGATCTTAAACTACATTAAACAAATTATCCTCAGCAGGAATGTGACTCGACAAATCAAGGACGTAACACAAATCTTGTTTATTACTTCTGGCATCGAAACTGGACCGGGTGTTCACGTAAGCCCTTTTGCTTCAGTTTTATACCAGAGAGATGATCATTAATCATTCTACAGAGTGGATGTATTATCAATTTGAGCTACGTCACTGACGATACTGCTGCATACAATCGAAATTTAGAAGTTGAGCTAACAAAATACATTCGACTTTTGATTGATTTTACTCTCAACTCAAATATTTGAAAATGTTGGATTCGAACGAGATAACAGTTAACAGTTAACGATTTGTAACTACAGTCAATCATGATTACGTAATGCATGAATCAAATTATATAGTGAATTGGGATACCTTGCAACACCAAAGCATCAGCGCAATCGCGACAACCGCAGTTACAATAAATATAAACAAAAAGGATATTATAGAAATCATTAAGTGATTTGCTTTATTCGCCGCACCAATCAGTAATGCAGATGTGAACAACACCAAACTGATTACAAAGATTGCAATTTTGAAAAGAACATCTTACTGTAAATTCCAAACTGTCATCGCTATTGCCATGAAAACAGACTGAAATGAGAAGGAAAATTAAAATTTTTACGGAATATATATTCATTCATATATGATTATGATGTATATTAATGCTGATAAGGTATGAATTCTTCCGCTGAAGATGACTATTTCAAATTTGACACAACTAGTTCACTGATCTATTGAAAGTGCTCTCTTCGAAAACATGGTGGAAATAGTGTGTATAATTTTGGAAACTGAAGTAAATAGTACCAGCTTAAACACTTTTGGTATTCAGGAATTGATGTGATTTCCGATTTGATTGTCCCAACAGTAGGACTGTCTTGAGATTCCTATTAATGGTTCTGACTATGATACATTCAAGACAATTCACACTGAAATAAAACGCATGAGACAGAGATGATATGATCTCAGAATTAAATAAATAATTCACAGAAATCAAGACATTGGATCGAATGGATGTACAGAGATCAGATCAATATTTAGTTTGTAATCATTTATCGTCACTTTAAAATGAACCTTGATCTGTTATAAATTTATGGACTATTTTGTAGAGAACAAATCTAAATTTTTTTCTTTGTATCAATGTGATCAAACTTCAACACATAATATGCATAAACAAAGTATTCAATGCAACCACATCTAATGAATGAGGCTATTATGAATCCGAATAGGAACTGAGATCAAATCGTTCAACGCTACAGGTAAGCCTCAGTCTTCTTTCACTGATTCCAATCCCTCACATATCCAAATAGGAAATATAAAGTTTATTTCCCAATCAATATTGATTCTTAATTGTTCTGTAAGTAGTATGAATCATCATTCAGAAGTGAAATGCCTGATAGCAGAAGGTTGAGAAGATCAAATGAAAAAGAACGAGTACAATGATTGGCGTAGAATCGAAAGGACAATGAAGACTGAGACGAGTGGTTGACATTTTGTAGAATGAACAGTCAAGTATCAAATAATTGATTGACATTTTGTAAATGAAGTATTAATTGTATTGTTCTCAGATACGCTCGACTGTCCCCATTTGTGTTCTTCTTTACTACAGAAATAACCAGGTCTATTCAATCTGTTGAAGTAGCTTGCATTAGGTCACGAAACATGAGAAATGTAATTTCTCTATTCAGTGTGATATAACAGAAAAATATGTTTCTTGTTAACTCTCTACTCAGTGCTCAATTTATTTGAAACTATCAAATCAAAACATAGCGCTTGACATCTGTAATTGGATGTATAGCAACTATTAATATGACTGTAGATTGTATTGTAATGAACGAGAACACCAGTTAGGACAACCAAAACAGTGAACCATACGGTGAATACTTCATTTGCAAAATGTCAATCAATCGTCTCACACTATATTGTTCATTATCTGTTCTCGATCTCTTCTACTCGATCTCCTTACCCTTCTGTCTCCAGGGATCTCACTTCCGACAGATGATGCATACTAGTAATATCAACAGATATGCGTGGCACACACCACACTCAAAACCTCATCTTTGAAGCATTTAGTTAAACTCATCTGTGTTCTCGTTTACTACAGAATATTCATCAATGAATAGTTGCAATTTGCTGTTTACTTTACTGTTTTTTGTAGAAAAATCTTGGAAGTAATGGTTCCTGTTGTTGAAAATGCTGGGAAGCAGTCAATGTGATGAAACCTGTTGAACGTTTACGTGTTGTATCCACATATACCAAAACAGTAAATTGTACTTTATGATTGAAAGTCATTTACAATTGTGGTTGCTTATACTTGTTGCAATATCAATATGAATTGCATTTGTCATCATAATGCTCACGTCAATACCGTAAGTCATTGACTCAATAATGATTGTTGTCTCTATGTAATGGGAATCAAATTTGAGAAAATAGTCAACTGGTACCGTCCACTGTAGCTGGTTTATTCTTGTACGTTTTGTCATTTATTAACAAATTATTCTCCGTGTTGCATTTGAGAATCTTGCTGTTTTCTTTGGTCATGTTGAGGCTTATTGATGCACAGGCTACTGCTACATTTGCTGTCTTCATCTGCAATTGTTCGTATGTTTGAGATAGGAGGGCTAGATCATCTGCGAAGTTCAAATCATCCGACTGATTCTGAGATTTCCATTGTGTTCCGTGCTATCCCTCAGATGTCGAAGTTTTTATAATCCACTCAATCACCAGCAAAAAAGAGAAAGGGGGAGAGTAGACAGCTTTGTCTGACTCCGGTTGTTATAATATACTGAAAATTTATGTTTGTCAAACAATTATTCAGCTGGATAACAGAAACATAAAATTGATTGGATTCATTCGGTATTGTTTACTTGAATCTTTTCATTGAATGAATATGTAGTTTGTGTTATCGAAAGTATTTGCATATTTCCATTATGCGAAGCAATGCAATTACTCAGTAATTATCAGCAATGCACAGTATGCGCATAAGCCAACAAGGGACTGATGAATTGCAATGGTTAGCAACAATGGAAATATTTGAGTAAACTGTATCAAGTGAATTTAAACTTCAGGAAACAGCAGAAATTAATGCTTCTGATGAAATTAATAGTTTCAAATAAATTTAGATTTAGGTAGAAATTGTATTATTATTATTATATCAATGAGTAGAAAATCGTATTTCTGAGGTTTCGAAACCTGATGTAAGCCACTTCTTCAGAGTATGCGAAAATCTCGAACATTGAACTAACACAACTTTATATAATACACTGGAAACAATGCAGAATATTTTTAGTACAATCAAAATCATATTAGATCTGAACATGTCACTTTCTCATGATACTGGAAAGAATAAGCCACTGAATATGAGACATAAATAAAGTACCAATAGTGAAATATGCAATATAAATACAATATAAATATAAATATGTATATAAGAAAAAAAATTTTCTTGTTAACTCTCTACCCAATGCTCAATTTATTTGAAACTCTCAATTGAAAACATAGCGGTTTACATTTGTAATAGGGTGTATGTTCAGAGTAAAAAATATTAACGATTTACTATATAAATTGAGGTGCCACAATAATCAACATACATTTAATGTGAACGATAATCAAATCCGTTAGACAATGAATTTGTGATTGCCAAACACATTAAATTTTCACATATTGCTTCAATGTTTGTGTGTGAATAAAACATATAACTCTCATCCTGAGATTATTATTCGTCAGTATGTTGTGATTACATTACCAACATTTATCCACTACTCAACATGTTATTACTCACTTATCCACCGCCAGGTTGTATCTCCTTATTTCTTTTGCTATTTGACTGGACTTCCCGATCTCCCACATTTTCCGGACACCTCATGTACCTATAACAATTGTTGCTATAGTTGTAAGAACGAACATAAGCCTCGTGAATTCCGAAGAATCTCGAATTTCATCATGAGGTGAAATACTTATGTCTTAAACACCTAGAGGAGAATTCAAATGGATGAAGTCGTTTGTTTTAATTAGAGTTTTTTATCAAGGCTGTTTTTTATGAGTTGAAGTTGTTAATTCGACTCCAAAACCTCCAACTTTGACCAGATTTCAGAGCAGTAATAGCTGTAGATAAGCAACAGTCCGAGTTACACATTTTATGCTCAACAGTTATTCATATTTTATTTTGTAGTTGGATTGCATTGGTCATAGCACTATTGATTGATTTAAATCTTCCATTTGTCGAGATTGATATGTAAGACGTTTCACTCATAGTCGTAGTGTTGTGAACAGAACACAGATGGAGATAATGTAATGTATTCCGCTTTAAAATTACAGTACATCTTCGCTGATTTCATTGTTCATGCATTCCAATACGGATTGCGCTACGTTCCTATTCTTTCCTTATCGATCTTCTGCCAATATGCATTCTATGTCTGACCATCAACATATACTACATTTATGGATAATAGTAACCAACACCACAATAGTACCTTTGTTGTGAGTTACAGAGACTATTTTGCACAATACTCAATCACCATGAAAGTCAAAACACATATAAATCCAATCATGATAATCAATTCATTGCAAACAATAACCAGATCTGTTCACTGAACTTCATGTTTCGAATGTGTAAATGAGAGTGTCTAGTCTGTTTAAGACAATCAAATCGGAAATCACATCCATTCTTGAATACCAAAATTGTTCAAACTGGTACTACTCATTTCAGTTTCCAAAATTATACACACAATTTCCACCATGTTTTCGAAGAGAACACTTTCGATAGATCAGTGAACTAGTTGAGTCAAATTTAAAATAGTCATCTCCAGCGGAAGAATTCATACCTTATCAGCATTATTATACATTATAATCATATATGGATGAATATATATTCCGTTAAAATTGTAACATTCCTTCTCATTTTTCAGTCTGTTTTCATGACAATAGCGATGACAATTTGGAATTTACAGTTAGATGTTCTTTTCAAACTTACAATCTTTGGAATCAGTTTGTTGTTGTTCACACTGACGTAGCACAAATACATATTACATCCACTCTGTAGAATGATTTATGATAATCTCTCTGGTATAAAACTGCAGCAAAATGGCTTACGTGAACACTCAGTCCAGTTTCGATACAAGAAGTAATAAACAAGCTTTGAGTTACGACCATGATCTGTCTGCCCACATTTCTGCTGAGGATAATTGGTCTGATGTAGATTAAGACCTTGAATGAATATATATTTCGTTAAAATTATAACATTCCTTCTCATTTTTCAGTCTATTTTCATTGCAATAGCAATGCCAGTTTGGTATTTACAGTTAGATATTACATCCTTTGGAGAATGATTTATGATCATCTCTCTCCTCAACCTCGACCATATCAGGAAGCTTCGGGGTGCAATGATTATTATTATTGTGCTTTCAAACAATCAAAGTCTATACTGATGTACGTTTTATTTATTTTACAGATAACAATATTGATAAGTCATTTTACTGTTGACAAGTCAAGATATCTTATTTTATATCCAAATTATTCACTGGCAGCAATATTATTGTATACCATACATTGAAGTTGAACTCTGAATGATTAACCGATGTGTATTTTTGTTTTGTTGATTTAATATCGAATCAATCAAGAAGGGGGTTTTGTGTAAACTGATTGTGTGTGTGTGTGCTATATTCGATTGCATTGCAATGTAATGTACAAGATGATATAAGTAGTTGTTGTTGTTGGGATTTCAATGATAATATCCATGTTCAGTGTCGACTAGTCAATCAGTCAACTTGCATGAGTATTACATCAAAAGAATCATTGAGCGTTCGGTGGGAGTCGTCGTGACCATAACTGGTAAAATATATTTTTATCAACACTTCTGTCTTCAATTACGTTGCTTATATAAGTTTTTAATTGCGAAGGAGTTCTATCTCCGATCTGCACTTCACTGAGCAATTGCTCGACAGCTTGCCGGTCGTTTAATGAAAGAGCTTTTATTACTGCCTGTTTCAATACGTCGTACGGATTTACCGCATCCTGCTTAGTTAGGACCTCTTGCACCTTGTCTGCTATTTCATCTGAAAGTAGTGAGCTTGCATAGCCGAACTTATGTCGCTGTAAGAGAATACGATTGGCTACGAAGTAATTCTCAAGTCTAATAAACCAGAGTTGAGGATCATTAACATAAAAAGAGGGAATAGTAACATTAATAACTCCCACGGATGGTGACTGTGAATGATCGATTGTGTCGTTGTTTAAAGACATTAATAACAAAATTAAATAATATGCGAATATAACGTAATTGTCACTAAGAGAAATGAATCGATGAAAACAATGATAATAACAAATGGTACAATTTATAAAATGGAATGGACTTACTAAATTGCACGAATATATCGATTGTTCGTGAATAATCGTTATTTATTATTAATATTGTCGTTAAGTTCAATAATGTTTATGGGATAATGTACGTGCGATAAAAATTGTGATATATTAAATCCATAATTATGATTATAATCCAGATCGTAATTCGAATAGAAACAGAGTACGTTGAATTTTCGAAATGAAATTATCTCGTCAAAAACTGTTTTGTGTTCGCTCGGCGAAGCATCCATTTCCGTAGTGTCGTGTTTGTACGGCGAGGCTTCCAATTCTGTAGTGCCGCGATTCGTTAATCGTTTACTTTGATAACCGTTATAATTCTAATCTTAACGGTGCGTAAAATCAGAAGATAAAGGATGGCAGCAACTATATTTTATTGTCGAATAACTCAGGTTAGAAATCTAACAACACCTGAGCGAATATGAACGAGCGGTAAGCCAGAGAGCGCGTGAACAGGCGAATAATCGAAGGAAGCGATCGAGGAGCAGGCGAGCGAATAGCAAGCAATTACATAGGCAATTTATAGTCAAATTTAGTAAGGGCACAGCAAAACAAAGGCTGATTATAATATTTCTGTGCATAAATATAAGCGTGAGGAGTATGAGTCATCGAGTGATATTTAAGTGGTCAACATTTCGGATAGAGCGTCATGTGCTCTAGTGGTATATCAGTGCAAATAATATGCAAATTGTTATTATCCAAATGACGATGTCTGTTAAGTAAGTTATAAAAAGGGCTTAACCAAAATTTGCTATAATCGGAATTGATTGTAAGATGGTTGCTATAATGAAATTACTTACTTACAGACTTACGCCTGTTACTCCCAATGGAGCATAGGCTGCCGACCAGTATTCTCCTACTCACTCTGTCCTGGACCTTCTTTTCTAGTTCTATCCAGGTTTTGTTCATTCTTTCATTTTTGTCTCTATTTCTCGGCAACATATGTTCTTTGGTGTTCTCCTTCATCTTTGACCTTCAGGATTCATCCTGCTAATGAGTTTCAAGAAAAAGCTTTGATCAATTATATAAGATAAGTGCTTCGGAGCTAGTTTCTACCGCATGAAAAATTCTAAATGTCTTATTCTACATCTTCAATTTGTCAATTTATGAAAGACAATCATGTAGCTCAAATACTTGAGACAAATGATAAGTAAGGTGATCATTCAATAGAAATCAAAGGAGCACCATACAAATTGACCCATATCAAACTTGTTTATTGTCGGTAAGCTAATTGAGGCAATAAAAAGTCAATTGAATTGTCTTATTTATCCAATAAGTAAGTGATGAATATTTAGTATTTTTTAACAAACTTTATTGGTTAACTACACTTATTAACAATCAAGTGATTCTAAGTCCAAAGTCATCTTACAATGGTTGAATAAGGAATGCCTTGTTTCGTTAGACAAATGGTCATTCATTTGAAAACATCAATACCCTTTGTATTCATTCATGTCTGAGTAAGTAATATGTTAAACAAAAAAAAATTGTAAGTAGTATCTTTCTTCTTTGTTTTAGTCATTCAAGTGTTTTCATGAAGTGAATATAAACAACATTTTGCATCATGTACATAATAGTATACATTGTAGTTTTATTAACCACAGGTAAGTGATTATTCAGATTATGAATCGATCAATGTTAAACTATCATTGAAAACCTGAAAGTACTGGACAGTCGTTTTGTTTTCCTACTATGGGACTCCAACATGTGGGACTCGAATCCAGGTCTTTCGATATCGAATTCATTATTTGATATTGTTGATTGTAGTTATAGAATCTATTGGAAATACATATTTGTTTCAAAATTAATTCTGATAAATTATTTTCTTATTTGAGTCTATTGAGTTTAGTGATCTAGCACGAGACTGGTAGAACCTGGATTCGATTCTCGTGAGGCAAGGTCATGAATGCGTACTATTGAGGAGTCCCACAAGAGTTCGGAACAACTATCCATTGTTTTCAGGTTTTCTTTGGTGTTAGTCTAATTTCAATTAACTCACACTTTCAATTATATCAAATTCATCATTTCATTTATATTCTTATTCTTATTCTTATTCTAGATAATCTTTCTATAAACATGTTTATGATCAATCAAATTAATCAATCAATTATTAATTTAATCAATAAACTTTCCAATAAATCAATATGGAATTATCGATTAGATATATCATTATATATTAAAAAAGTAAGTAAATTATTAATTTTATATTAAAAATTTTTTTTATAGATTTTTATTATTCTTATAATTCAATTAATTATCACATTTTTTATTTTGATCATTTTTTATGGATTGTAAGTTATTACTAATAATAAATCAATAATGTACTTGTCATCGAGTCACGATTGACTATGATGGACAGGAAACATTGGATGGCCGTTTCGTACCATTATGAGACGCGCTCAGTAGTGCGCATCCACGACATTGCTCTCTGCATTCTGTAAGGATGGCTCGTTGGTAAACTCTAGAAAGCTTTAGGAAGCCCTGAAAGTGCCGAAGACATTCCATTCAATCACAGCAAGGCGAATATTCCAGAATGCCGACACGTAGATTCCCTATTGAATGGATAAGAATGACCCCTTATGTGCCGATTGGTTAACTGAAATGATGATTTTTTTGATTACATTACTAGTCTTCTGTGTTCTCACTTGCGACGTTGCGGGTTCGATCGTTCAAGGAGTCAAGTAAAAAAGCGGCATAGTAAGAAACAAAGCTACAGATTTAACAGATTCGAACCCAAGACCTATCGGTCTCACGCGCGAGTTTTGTTTCCTATTAGGATATTCAAATCTCATTCGATGTATTTGTATATTAATGAGTGAATTATCTAATGTCTTTATTCTTTTCTTCTCATTTATAGCTTCATTACATCTGTGTTAGGGTTATTGATCGCTTATGTAAAGAAAATAAGTGATACATTCCCATTGAATGTTATTGTATTATTTACTTATGTAAGAACATTGAATTAAATTGATGAGTTTACTTTTTTTCTAGTGTAAAAGTATTTATATTAAAATTTATCTACGTAAATTACTGCATTATTCACTGACTACTATTCAGTTGATAGGTTTAAAGAAGTCTTCCACAGAAGCCAATAGACTTACTTACTTACTTACTTATTTACGCCTGTCACACCTCATGGAGGAGCATAGGTCGACCACACGCATTCTTTATCCAATTCTGTCCTCGATAATCCTTTCCGGTTGTTTCCAGTTACTGCTCATTCTTTCGATGTCTGCTTCCAATTCTCTACGCAGTGTGTTCATTGATCTTACACTTTTACACTACCCTTCACGATTCAAAATTGCCACTTGCCACGTGATGCAGTATGATGACTTTCACAATGTATGTTCTATACCTTTCCGTTTTCTTTCCCCAATTCACACTTGATATGGAAGCTGGTTTACTTTCTCCCATAGTATGATGTTACTGGTGGTATCCGGTCAACGGACACTAGGCAACAACAATTTAGAGATTCAAATTATATATCTTCATCCTGTTAGACGTTTTAGGAAAAATCCAGATCAACTAAATTATGAAATGGTTCAACTTTTCGTGTACACCGTTTTAAATTGTACATTATACATTTCATATTTTCAGACAATCACCTTAGCTGCAACTATTGAAACTCTGGATATACTAGTGGGTATTGCTGCTAAAATTGGTGCATATGGAATCAGTCTAATTCTGTTTATAATTGCATTACTTATTGGTGCAGCAATCAAAATAAAATTGGCAGATTATTCAACGGTTATTTTAACACTGTTAGTAATCTCTGGTATTGTAATCGGTGTAGCAAGTTTTTTAATCACAAGAATAAAACATTGGGTATGTCAATAAGGACAATAAATTCATTTATAAATTAAATCACCATGATTTTACAGTATTCTATGTGAGATACTCAGGTGTATTTTAATATTGGTTGAAATAAGACATAGAAACCATTGGATGCCAGCTAAGTGGTTCCAGAGGTTGGGCGTTCGCGCGCAAGACTGATACATCCTGGGTTCGAATCTCGTGAGGTGGGATCATGGATGCGCAGTGCTCAGGAGTCCCACAAAAGCATGAAACGGGCATCCAGTGCCTTCAGGTTTTCCATGGTGGTCTAACTTCAATTGACTGATGATTCCAACTATAAGGTTCAATATTACTTTATACTATGAAGTTTTATTCATTAAATATATACCAATAACATACTCGTTAGTCTCTACATACCTAACTAATTCAATGAATCTAACAATTGTTATGATATCAACTTGGAGATTTTTATGTTGGATACGATGATATCATACAATTTTATAGTATTTTATGAAATGAATTTGTATTTACCATCAACTTTGATACTTAGTCAATGAGCGATATGCAGAATATATAAATTATAATTGAAAGAATATACAGAATGCATTATGAGCGGTAAGAATTTCATCGGATCTACAACGCGTCGGTGAGAGTAATTTCGCTCTATGCTTGTGAAACCCGACATCTCCGAGTTGAGGATGTTAGACGACTCTCTGTGTTCGATCATCGTTGTCTCGGAGGAATTGCTGACATCCAGTGGCAACACCATGTTAGTAATGCAGAGGTTCGGCATCGAGTGTTCGGGGGCAGAGACGATAATTCAATTGGTGTCAACATCTTGAAACACCAAATTCGGTGGCTTGGACATGTTCTACGAATGTCGTCTCGGAGAATTCCACGTCGTGCATTATATGCCGACGCTGGGACTGGTTGGAAAAAGTGGAGAGGAGGTCAGTGTATGACATGGTGTCGTGGTATGAAAGAAAGCTGCAAAGAGCTAGCTTCTGTTGGTCCTTCACGAATTCCTGGCTGGGGTCCGAGAGTTGGTGCAACACAGTGGCTAGAGACGTTTTCAGATATGGCACAGACTAGAAGCCAGTGGCGAGCCTGCTGTAATCTTCTTTCACTTTCTTCATGAAGAATGGTTGTAACTTCCTTAACTGAAAGAGTCTTACGGTTGTACATTTCAGTTCCCCCTTTTTTTCATCCTTTCTCTTCTATTTTCATTGTTTTGTGTGGCGCATATGTATCTGGTGCCGTTTTGTACCAATATGTACGTGTTTAAATAAATAAACAAAATAAACAGATCCCCCCACAGAAATTTGAATCAAGGACCTTCGGTATGACGCCCGAATGCTTGACATCTTGACTTCCGTGTTCTAGAAGTTGAGTGTACCTGATCTCAGTAATATTATTTACCTCATTTAGTCTAGTCATGTATTGATATTATTCGATTTATATACAACATCAATTGGTTAAATACAAAGTCATCAACATTTTTGTTTTATTTTCAGTCAACATGGGTCGCATTTTACGTCCTTACAGATGTGGCGTTATTTTTTGTGAGTTACATTCATCTACATTTCATCTATTTGAAGTAAAATTTGTAGTGGCTAACAATATAACAAGTCCACATAACTTATTCTAGCTTACGGACAGATCAATTTATTCATTCTTCTTGACTCACATTTCAACCTTGTTAATTATTTACTTTGCCTCACTTTGCTCACGTCTTTCTCATGCCTCATTTTGCCTCAATTCGATTTGATCATAAATATTGAGTAATACTTCATTAAAGTGAGTTGGCTCACTCACCTTCTCCATTGTGTGTCATTTTGTTTTGCTTCACTTACCAATCAACGATTGTACATAACATACGTATTCAAAGCTTCATTCTCCCATTTGATTTATTTGAATTCCGTTGTTCACTAACGCGAGCTAAGTCAATAGTTATTGATGTTGGATCATCATTGAATACCTGGAAGTATTGAAAGGCCGTTTCCTCCCAGTATGGGACGCCTCAGTGCTCAACAACGTTTACGTTCACGAGATTCCGACCAATGAATGCTTAACATCTAGATCACTGAGTCGGCATCCAACGGTGTTATTGTCTAACTCCAACCAATCCATGAAATTTAGGGACCATCTTCCATTGTATTCCGTTGGTAACTGTCTCACACCCAACACAGTTGAACTCCATTGAGTTCGAATCCTACGAGCGAGATCGTGAACAGTAGTCTTTATTTTCAATTGATGTTGTACTCGCACTCAAATGTAGTATGTTGTCATGATATAAACTTTAGTCTAATTGTTTTGTTTAATTTTACTTTCATAGATAACAATATTTGTCAGTCAAATAACTGTTGGCAAATCAGCATTACGTATCTTCTGTACAGAATACACTGCGGCTGCATTACTACTATATAATATGTTTTCAACTACTTATTTAATCACTACTGGTATGGTTTGTAATATAAGCCAGACCTGTAATGCTTCAAATGCATCCGTTTCCCTATCCGACAATTTACCGGGATATATAGTTTTGATTTAAAAGTAAAGACTCTTCTTTTGTTTGTTTATGATCAAACTTTAAAACATCTTACAAACTTATGACATGTGAGAAAATATATATTGTATTGTTTGTTTGAATATTATCATTGATATTTCGGACTATATTTGATCAGTATCTATGCAACCTGTACGAATTATCTCGATATTGCCTTGATTCACAAGTAATACAATCAGAGATGGATGGTGGTAGGTAGTGGAAACCAGAATGTACGTTTCAGCGTATTTGGGATTTGTCTGTTGAATATGCTTATACCACAGAGTTGATTTTGACTCTGGGACTACTCACTGCCTTCTCGTGATGGGGGTGTCGTTTACGAAATTGAGAGGACGAAAAGCGAATGCCTAGAGCTGAAACTGGTTTGGTGGACACGGAAATTTCACCTAGGGGAGTTGGGAAAACCGGATTTTAGACCAATAGTGCACATGGGCTGGTTTCAGTATCCTGAGGGAACAAATGGCGTATGAATCAATCGTTGGTCATCGGCTACCATGGGACTGAATCTCTTCACGATGCTCCACTGCCTTGTGGATCAGACCTTTAGGTCAAAGGCTTCGACTAAGGTCCCCTAAGAAAAATGCGTGCTACAGTTTCAGCACCTGAGAATTATCATAGTCCTCACACAAACCAAATAAAATTTGTGCTCCGCATATATATCTGCTGATTCCTTGTACAAATATTTGTGTGGTTAAAAAATTAATTAGTAGATAGTCGTTCGCGGTTCGACTGATCTAATGGATTTCATCTGTCGTTTCATTTGTGTCACCTTGTTGAATATATCTTCTGAGATATTTGTTGCACGTTCGAAAAACTCACCAGA